ACTGATGAAGACAAATTCAAGATATGATAAGGAATAGTGTGTTCTAACCTAAAAACATTTTGAAGCCTTTGCTAGCTTTTATAAATTCACCAAAATTAAGAACATTCACATCTTTGGTGATATTACGTTTTACGAATTTTACTATCAACGGATTTTGAGTTTCTGAACTGTGAGTCTGCGTAACATTTTGTGGTTTAAAGCACCATAAGCCAGCTATAAAATGTGGCCACTTACCTTTTATGAAGAAATCAGTCTAGGAAATATGAACTTTGAAACTAGGAATATGAGTTTAAAATAAAATATGTCCAAACAGGCCTTTTTCCCCCCCCCCATATAGACACATATATGTTTCGAGAGCATTTGGGCTAACACCAGTTTGGTCTGAAAATATTAAAAAACCGCATAACTTTAGAACTTCCAGCAGTCTCGTGAGTTTGAAATAAAGATGTTTTATTACCAACAATGCTGCTACTGCTCGCTTTGAAATCCTTGAAATTTTTAAATAAAAAATTTCTTGAAGTTTTACAAAACATGAAATATATATAATGCATAGCTCAGGTTATTTAACAGTTACAATATGATTTTGATTCAGATAATTAATATTCAAAATTTTATGTTCTTTGCCTAATTCTGTTTTGTAATTTTCTTACACTTTTATACTGAGAAAATCCTAAGTAGGAAAGAAAATAATTGATTGATCAAAGTACTTTTAAGTATCATGGAAAATGAATAAATAAATAAAATAAAAAAAATAAATACTGACAAAACTGAGAGAAGGAAACATTTTACTGATTCAAAGTACTTTTAAGCACAATGAAAATAAAACAAATACTGTGCATACTGTTGTGAGGATAAACTTGGTAATGCACCATATAGATGTAAAATAAAATTAAATATTAATAGCTTAAAAACTGGAAGAATTTTCCCAAAATACTCTAGAAATGTTTACAGTAGATTAAGACAATTAAAATAAAGTTCAAATAAAATTTAATAGGAAAAATTATGCTGAAAATCACTAGGGAGAATGGGAAAGACTTTGCTCAATTTAAGTTTCATTAATTCAGTACATTTCATTTATTGCCGAGAAACATTTTCCTTAGTAAAGACTAAAAATTATTGCGGATCTACTGGGACACTAGAACATGTGATGAAAAACCAGGAGAGTTGGCAAATATGAAAGATTATCAATGATGGTTTCCTTATATGAATTTTGTCAAATAAGGATCATCAAAACTAATAGAAATGTTTCCCTTTCGACTCACTATAACCTGCGAGACTTTTTTCATGAATTTTGATGACAACAAAATTTTGATGTCTGGATTTTGCTAGAACACCCTTGTCATAAGCATAACATGCTGTAATCACCACTGAAATTAGTAATAACATATAACAGGTGCATCTTTTTTATTCAGAGTTGCACACATTCTATTTTTTTTTCCTCGCTGATTTCTATTATACATAAAACAGTAAAGTAGAAGAATCAGTTCTCATTCTATTGAAGTTTGATGAATTTTTCATACTATATGTGTTCAACACTTTAGTGACATATAACAGGAGAATGGTAACATTTTCTTTTTTATGCATGGGTGAGGTGAAAGATTCTGTAATTTGCATTTATTGCACAGTAAAAGACAAAAGTCTTTTGAAACTTGAACTAGCTGTCAGGCAGTTTGTGTAAGTATGGAGACAGCCTACTAAGGCTAATTTTTTTATAGCATACTTATAGCAGACATGTGGGTATGTAGATGATTAATAATAAACATTTCAGAGACATCAGGAACAAAAGAAATGATTAGTTACATTTTTGTACTAAAAGAGACATCGATTCAATTAGAAGAACGACTGTACATTTCAATGCCACTTTGACACAATAGTTTAGTTTGGGCTTGTTTCCTCTTACAGTCATATGTTAAATCAAATGGAAGAGAAATATGCCAATGTAATTTAAATTTAGGTAAAAAAGCAAGCTTAGTTTGTAGTAAGATTTGAATAAATCCAGTCCTTTCTAAAGCCTAACAAAATCCTAATATCGTTATTTTTATATTATTTCATTACTATTTTCCAAAATAGATGGCACAATGTTTCTGTTCACTCACATTTTTTGCGCATGAAGAAGAGGGTTAGATTATTTGATTCTGGCAAAATGAAGGAGAGCAATCTGCCCTTAAGGGGAGGGATGCTTTCATGGAAGGCTTTCCTGAAAAAAAGAAACCATGAGGAATATTATTCAAAACCTATAGCGAAATATTTTCTCTCTGTTTTTAAACATATGCTAAGTATTAACACTGTGAAATTTATGAGAAGATTAATGATAGGAAGTAGGTACAAATATAATTTCATAAATTCTTTGTTACATCCAAAATTTAACTTTTAAATTTTGCTTTAAACACAAATAATGCTCCCTATACTTTATTGCTGTTCCAACTAGAACTTTATTTTTCTTGGAATCTTTAGAAAAAATTTATATTTCTTATTTTGGCTTTAAAGATGAAATTTCTTGTTGTCTGTTCTGTTAATCTTGCTCACTGAATGCAGTTTTCTTAATGTGCAACTAAATACAGTTCAGTTTCACTAAGAAGGTTCTCCATGAAGGCAACTCTTGTCATAAGGAGATAGGCCAGTGCTCCTTGCCAAGATTTATGTTTCATGTACGCAATTTTTTTATTGTTTAACATGGTGGTATTACTAAGTAAGGTCAGTGCCCCATAAATCTGAATTAATGATATTTAACTAAGGTTCAACACTCTGATCAGGGCCATGAAATTGTTTTTTGGGGACCCACTGCCATATAGTTCAAATAGCATTAAAATTGGACAGCCATTAAAAGCACACTCTGCTATAGCTGGAATGCTTACTTGGAGGAATTTTAGGGATACTGCATTATATGATACATGAAGAAAACCATGACAGCCCATGTAACTGTCTTTTAACTAAAAATCAAACAAGAGATGGATGATCCGCTCTGGCAAAAGCAAAACCACAGTTCTTTACAGTTCACTGAGACCTATTGTTGGGAAGTGCGCCAAAAAATTTTATTCCTTTTAATGTAAACACAAACATTCTTTCCTTTATTATTTACCAGAAACATCTCTGACCTATTTTTCATGTGTGTTACATATGTATATATGTATGCTTTTGGTTTGCTTCTATTCCATCTAGTATTTAAAAAACGAAACATTAAATAAACTGATGCATCTCGGTGTAACTCACCACCCCTGTTTGCTAATAAATGAGGCTCATTTTCAAATTTTAATTTGAAATTTTTAAAGTTTAATTTGAGATATGCATTGTACAAAGATAACTATAAATATATTTCTACAATTCAAAATATAAAAAAATCAACTGAAATTTTTTAGATATAAATCTTTGATAGCAGGCAAAAATACCTGTCCCTTTCAAGTTTCATGTTATTCAACCTCTTTGGTTCGTAACCTAATTTAATATACTGCATAAAATAAAGAAGTTTAATTATTTTAAATCTGAACTATTAGAATTTTATTATGATAAAAATCAATTACAGAAGTTTTTTTCTTTAACAAAACAATAGAAAAATAATTTGTCTTCCACTTCACGTCAAGTCTGTTACCTTGAGATTATTTTATAAATCTGTCTAAAAGCGGCAGTACATATTCAGTGACAAAGATAAACTAGTCAAGCTAAGTTTGGCTACTTTGAATATGTACTGCCACCCCCTTTAGGCAGATTTACAAAATAATTGTGGGTAAAATAATCTCAAGGTAACAGACTTGACATGAATTGGAGGACAAATTATTTTTATTGGTTAGCCAAGTTTTTTATATAAACATTTTCAATTAATTTTTTTTTATATTTTAAATTGCAGAAATACATTTATAGTCATTTTATTACTCAAATTAAACTTTAAATATTAATTTAGTTTGAATTTTCTTTCTTTTCTTCTGATACAACATATGTAAGCAACATTTGAAAATGAGCCATGAAGTCCACCCCCCCCCTTCTGGCAGTGCAAGGATCTGCTTAAAGTACGTAGATTTATAGGAATTAGTTCCTCGGATTCCCAGCTGTCAGTGCTCTGGCGATAATCACAGATCTGGGTCTTTCAGAGTCATGATTATTCGCTCTTTCATCGCTCCTGCTCTAGTCGCAAATCTGGTTCCTGCAGAGTTTGGATTATTTGCTCTTTTCACTTCCTTGAAACTGCTCCTTTGAATTTCATTTCGAGTCTTTGAATACTCTGTCAAAGTATAGCTATGTATATTAGGCATTACCTTTTCTTATACAATATTACTGTAATATTTATTTAAAATAACAAATTATACTTTTATTTATTTACTAATTTTACTAACATGTTGTAATCAAGAGCTGTGAATTTCTCTTTTATCTTTTTTAGATTTAGTATATGTTTAAAAAGATCAATTTTTCCATCTAATGCACTTTTTCAAGCTTGTTAACCCTACAAAATAGAAGAACCTTGAGCGATATTTGGTATCATTTTATCAAATTAGATAATTTTTAATTTTTTTTTAACATTTAGCATTTTTTATTCCAGAATTTTATTGCTCTATGTAGAAAGGTTTTTTTTTAGGGAATCTCAAACCTACGGTTAAAAGAAATCAGTCCAGGGAGAGAGCGGTTTGGTTGAGTAGTTGCTTCCAGCGATCCCACGCCTTGTTCAATTCTTTCTGCTTTTTCCCCATCTTTGCTCACTGCTCTTGATCCACACCTGTTCTGAGCGCATTCATGAAGGTCATTATTAGTGAGTGGTGAATTGCTAAAAAGAACTGATTCACTTCAGTGGTTCTAATCTGATCTATTAAAGAAGTGGTTTTGTCCATCTCTAAATCAAACTGCAGGTATTTAATGGCCTTATCCACTCAGCCAATGCCTTCAACAATTCTTTCAAAAAAAGTGTTTATTGTATGTAGAAATATGGGAAAGAAACTTAAAAAAAATCAGTTATGTGTATGGTTTTGTATAATTAAAAACACTTCCCAATACCATGGATAAATATCTGAAGATTATTTCATAAAGTTGTAAAACATGTGCTTTATTTGTTATAACAATAGCTAACAAAGAAAAATATCACTGATCACATATATAATACACATTTGTATAATACAATTTTCTACAATCACTGATTTTCGGATCAAGAGAAAAGTTACATCATACTCTTCCTCTTGATACACTACTCAAAAAACTAGATGTTGTAGAATTATTTGGGGCTGGTGGTTTACGAATTTTTAAATTCTTTGAAATGAAACAAAATACAATCAGAGTAAGAAGCTGAATAACAGCAAGAGCAAAGAAATAATAATGAAGTTCCACATAATTAATATTACTGCTATGCATATGTGGCTTGATTATTCTATTAAATATTCCCCAGGCTGCAACCCCAATAAAACTTCCAATACCTGCACAGAAGTAGTACAGACCCATAACAGCACTTTGCATGGTACTAGGTGCTTGTGAGCAAGCAAATTCCATACCTAAAGAAAATTTATTAAAAATTAAACAAATAAGACATTTAAATATGAAACTGCATAAAATTTACATATTTTCTATTTGCAGAATTTCTAAATAATTTAGGAACAAAGAATTTTATATGGATATTAATTTCAAAGATTTGAATCTTTATTTTACATTATATATTTTGTTCAAATTTTTAATAAGACGAATCTTTAGAGAATTTTTTCTTCATAGAATGCAAAAAGATAACGAAAAGTATAGAATCATGATATACATAACTGAAAGGAGAAGATGATATCTAGGAAGTTTAATATCATGGTTGATTAACGTTATTTGTGAGAATTTGCATGTGGCATTGTGATATTACAAGCATGGACTTGCTACGTACTATGTGAATTAGATAATCCAATTTGTAATGCCAAGAAACAAAATTTTGGGTAAAAAATTACTTCCATGAATAAACCAGTTAAAAAAAAAAAATAGCATAGACCTTTTCCAGACAGCTTTCCTTACCCTTTATACAGTGGACTAAACAAAATTGGTTACATGAAACTGAGGATAACAGCAAATGCTGCTTATTTCTGCTGTTCATGTAACATACGTATATATAAGCAGCAAGTTTTAATTGATGTTTAAGCAGTATAACATATTTATCAATATTAAATGTTATAAGAACCTATACTGCTTAATGCAGAGTGCACTTTCTCTTAACACACTAGCTGCCAATTACCAAAATAATGTGTAGCTTGCATTCTAGCCCAGGGCATTAAATACAAGATAACTCAGAGATGATGCATACAGATAAATCAAATATGCTTCTGAGACTAGAAACCTGAAACTGGCCATGGCGGTTGACATGATTTGAGCTGGGTGACAAGAAGTAATTTGTTTTATATATAAGCATAAAGCCATGGTAACCCCAAACAGCAGAAAAATATTACCAAACATCCAAAGCCACACTGCTTTTTGTGTGATCACCTCGGTATGTGATGAAAGGTTGTAGCCAGAGTTGGGTTGCATAATGGGTGTTTGTGATTTTCTGAACAATATGAGAAGTCTGCCATGATGTAAATTATGTGCATTCACACAGTTTTGTATTGTCTTTTTTTTCATTGTTTGTCCTTCTCACACCTTTTCTTTATCAGTGCTGTAGCACCAAGATTTTTTTAGCTTCACCTATCACTCTAGTGCCATTCATAGATTTTGACTTTGCTAATCAAACTACGGTGAAGCTACTGGAAACTCAAAATTTGTTCTCTGCAAACAATAATTGTGATAACTTGATGGTTCTTCTTGTATTCTTAAGCATAAAGCTTCTAATTCTTATATTGAGTTACATTCCGATCTTCTAAATAATGCATTTGATAGGGGCTCATATACAAGGCAAATTATTTTATGATCACATCGCATTCTGATGTTTTAGGCAAATTTTCATGAATAGTCAATTCAAAAGTTCATGTAGCAATCAAATTTAATGTTTGTATAATCTAACGAATTGGAATTATCCTATTGACCATGAAATTGTCGCCAAACAGTATAATGCAAGGCCAATTATGTATAAGTGGGACTAATAACACACTTATAATGTAATCCCGATTGATTCTTGATAAACCACCTTTTGTTTTTATGAACAAAAGGATATAAATGAATTCTTGTTGCTATCTATATATATATATAACAAAGTGAGTGTGTTTGTTTGCTAATAAATCAGTCACTACTACAGCTATCGTCACCAACTTTCTAAAAAATTTTTCTGGGTCATGGAAAAACAAAAAGTGAACTTAAAAAAAAAAAAAAAAAAAAAAAAGACAATTAAAAATGCTTAAAATGCTAATTTTAGCCCTCATTTTTCAGAGTGCCAACAGTGCTGATATCAGCAACAGTGATATATCAATAACAATGGCTGCATGCCATTGTTGCTGATAGAATGAGAAAGAATTAATTTATTTTTATGTGGGTTCCATATTGCATCAGACTGAAAAGTGCACGACTATGAATCGTTTTTTGCTCAAAATAGTGATGTATTTGTTTTTATTTTTGCTGATCCAAATGGCAATTTCATATGTCATATGTAGGGTTTGACGGGTTCTCAAACCCAGTTTTTAAAGCAAATTTGTCACATTCGAAAATCAGTTTTCTTAATTAAGAAAGAGGTTTAAAGAACTGATATTATTATGTAAAATTTAATTTTAAATTTATTTGATTTGCTATTCATTCTATGCAAATGGTAGCAAACATATTTTTTCAATGTTGTGCATTATGCACTGCGCACGTGGAAAAGACATGCCTGATTTATTTTATGTTAGTACATACGTGCAATACATCACGACAGGTTTGCTTAATATTGTAATGTGAAAACTGGAAACAAAAATATATAGTTGTTATATTTGGTAAAAATAACATAAGTATATTTCTAATTTGTGTTTGTATTTTCTATTTTACATTTTAAAACTTTAATTTTATTACATAAATTTCTTCTCTCAAAAATTAATGTAAAATAAAAAGTTCTGGCTTCTGTCTAATGGGATTTTAAATAAAGCAAAGAGTGTTAAAAGTAATTTTCTTTCGCAATGTTTTGACATAAATTATATCTTCTTAGATTTTGACTTTGATACTGATTTTGTTTTTTGTTATTTTATATAAATTAAATAAAATATTTTCCCCTATTCTTTTTTTTTTTTTTTTTTTTGACAAAAAGCCGAAACCTGGTTAAAACCGGTTTTTTTTGGGGGGAAGTACTGAATTTGAAAAAACGGTTTTTAAAAAAGTCGGTTTTTGTATAAACCCTAGTCATATGGGCATATATACCATATGATTCTATGATTACATACTCAGTTGTGGTACGTGTATTGAATATTACTTTGTTTCTTTGGCATTTTTTATGTGTTACGACACATAATATTCCTTATGAACGAATTTTCAAATGATGTCATGAGTAAAATAATACATTACTCTCAATCTACCTTAACCGGGCATGGGGTACTTATTCTAGTATAATATATATATATATATATATATATATGTATGTATTAAAAAATGCTTAAAATGATGATGATGATGATGATTAAAATTTTGAAACTACTTTTTAGAGAACTGCAAATGGTGGGCTATTTGTAAAGTTAATGAGATCCCACTATCAAAAACTGTATTATTAGACATGATGTGGTACCTGAAAATGGAAAAACAATGGTGATGCAACACAAGAGAATACACATTTCAAACATGAATGTGGCTCGATGGCTATAGATTCACATTTGTAAATGCCCTCCAATTTATTCACAGCTGATGGCTAGAACTGACATGTGTTAAATAGGTAGATAAACAACTGGATATAGTCGATAAAATAGTAATAGACTGCAGCAATTACTTGCCAGAAGTTACTCATAGCATTTTAAACACAGTTTTCATTACAATCAAAGAGTCTAATAAAATAGCAGAAACCAGTGGAATTCCTTTTATGAAGCCGGTCAAATACTGATCATTTATTAAAAAAAAAAAAAAGTTTATTCCTTCAGAAGTTTGCAGGAATGTTTTGTGTAACTTTAGCAGGATATGTAGAAACTTTCATGGTTTGATATTTGCCAGTTTTCACGGTCAACAGATTAATGCATATGTACTAATATATCATTTCAAAGGATGGCAGAACAGAAAAAGAATGCTTTCCCATAAAATTACAGGCACAAATCAGCATTTTTATTCATGTCAGTATACAGACTGCAGAGAAGAAAGGATTAGCTTTTGTTACAGCTACTGCATTCCCCTATGTATAGTTCACTTTTGCTTAGCTTGCATTTGTTAATTATAAACCCTTTATTTCATAAAATTAAAAACCCTTTTTCGGTCATCATAAAGCACAGATAATTGAATTAATGGACTAGGAGACACAGTGAAACATATAAATATTATATACAGCTAGTCTACTATAAAAAAATCTGATGTGCCTAGCACATAACTTGTCATCAATCCCATGTTAAGACATGGAATGGGCAGAATGTCTCTGGAGCTTTTAGTAAACTAACACTTCCAGTTGATCGCCTGTAAATAAATTCTAATTTACTTATAAACTTTGAGGCTCAATGCTAATTATAAACACTGCTTATTTTTTATTATTCTATTCTCTCATACAATAGACAATGAAACGTGCTCATGTAAACATCAGTTCTCATGCTTTGAATTGAAAATATCACATTGATCATAGGATATTCTCTTTTTATATTCGACGTTTCGGATAAACAAATCAATGAATTAACAATCACAAAATTTTTAAAAGCAACATATCTCTAGAATTCAAAATAGAGTGTTAAGTGATATCATAAATTCTTTATATATTTATTAAATTCCTTTAAAAAAAGTGATTCGGCACAAAAGTGAAACAAACACAAACTGAGAACCCATGATGAAATATACATCTGTCCTGGTTTGAATAGACACTTTTCTCTGGTTCTGAATGGCAACACAAAAATCAATAGAAGTGCACTGATTTAGACAATGCTAAGTGGCAACAGTGTAGAGTTTGGAACTTCCTTTTGATTTGTTTCATCTCATCCACAGCATCTGAGCTGTAGATTCTAGATTGGATTAATTTGTTTCGTATTCTAGCAAATTCCCTTTTGAACTGGATTGAAAGTTGATTTAGATAAAAACACTACTGAACCACACATGTAGAAATTTAGATGCAGCAGTTAGGTTATCTGTAGAGCTTTGTTAGATATGCCCCAATATTACTGTCTATTGAAGAAAATTTAACTGCTTCATAATAAGAGCTCATCTTCAAAATGAACTTATTCTTGATACATTTAACATAATTCCAAGAATACATTTAATGTGTATAAATGTAATACATTGTTCCCAATTAGATACTTATTTTATCTATAAAATTTGAGAAGTTTTGGATTACCTCATAATACATTTTTTATGAAAGTCTGTTCACAGCTTAATGTAAAGTACACGTCTAGTTTATCTAATATATTATTCCCAGGGACACAAAAGTCTAAATACTAAAATCGAAAAGCTTTGAATTACATTTCAGTATAGTTTTTTCATTAAAACATTATGGACTTCAAGCAGAATATCATTTTCAGTCGTCCATCAAAGATTTCTATGGGTTCCTGTAAGTACCTCTATGGGCCGGTCGATTTTACCCTCACACCTATTCTACTCTTTACAGGAATGTAGAAAATATAGACATGCATTAAATACAGATGAAAATTTCATATAAGAATTATTGTGGAAAAAAAAAATCACAGACACAGACAGACATCATTGCAAAAACAATAAAAGTATGTTGTGGAGACTCTCAATTCATGTTTACTCACTGAAAACCCACTACTGAATCTTTAGACTGAAAATATTACCTCCGTTACCTATATAAACATTAGTGGGAAATAGCAAGTCCTTTTCACTTCCTTGTATGAAGTAAAAAGGAAGTATTTTACTTTAGCTTAGCTACCAAGTCCATGGACATTTTTTAGGTTTAAAGTCCTGGTAGTATAAATAGGACTTAATGGGCTTCAAGTAAACTACGACTTCTGGTTGTCAAATTTCATCCAAAACTTAACCAGCTTATATGAATGTTGAAAATGAAGAAATGTATTAAATACAGATATTAAAATTTTTTGGAAGTTTTATATAAGAGTTATTGTGGATGAAAAAAATCATTTCAAATATACACACACACAGCCAAACATCATTCTAAAAATAATAATAACATTGTGAGAAGCCTAATTTGTGCTTTTTCACTCAAAACTCACCAATTCAAACATTACCTTTCTCGTCTATGTATATAGGTTGGCAAGAGGTAAAATGTTTGGTTTTATAATAAAATGGAAGAGATTTGCAACAATTATAGCTGTAGTTGACTGGCGCATTAATTGGTATTATGGTAAACATTGGAAGTAATTCACTGTTTCAATTAATAATAAGAGAACAAGAGGCAGCAAAACATTCTAAAGCAATAGAAGAAATGATGAAATAATGATAAGTTATCACATCAGACTAAGCTTGAGTGTAATTGTAATAAATTATTCAGCCATTAAACTCTGTTCCTTATTTTCAAGTTTTTGAGGATTTCTGATAATGGGACAAGCTGGAGCTGTGTGAAGTCAAGGGGAGTCATAAAAAGTAATTCTATTTACTATCAAAGAAATGCTATAGCCATTTTTCTATAAAAATATTATAAAAACTGAACAGTTCCAAGGGGGAAAAGTAAATTCACCAGGAAAAATCTCAAATCATATGCTTCATTCAGCGGCACACTTTATACAAACAGTGAGGCAATACAGTGATATACAGTCAAAAGTCGTTAATCCGGACTCGTCGGGACTTCGGCGATTCCGGATTATCGATTTTTCCGGATTATAGATCATCAGTTTAAATCTCGTAAGATGGCATGCAGAAATTCTAAAATTAAAAATATGAAGCCGTAATTTATGAAATAAAGAACAATTATGATCTAAAGGGTATCAAAATTTGCAAAAAGAAAAAGCTTAATATTTATTTGTTTACTTTATTAAACATTTCTTTCAATGTAAGTTGTTTAAGTTTTGCTTCGTTTCATGTGATAATACTTTCTCTTTAATTCTATTGAACAGACATAATTTCTTGTTCAGTTACAAAGTTCCGCTGTTCAAGTCCTATAATTGCTGTGTCGAGAACACCGACTAATTTGTCAATCAAAATTTTTTCGTTTTCAATAACCTCTGTCACTTTTCTTCGCTATCGGAAGTGAATTATAATGACGAGGAACTTGTTTTAAATCATATCAAAGACGGAGCATGCATCGAAGATGAAATACTACATTTAGGTTAAGCAATTATAAGCCAAATAAAATAAAAACATCTGCGCTTGAAGATAAGGATAGTGCTGACAGATCAACTTCCAAATTCATTGTGCCCGCCGCGGCATTCCCCCCGCCGCCGAACAGCGTGAAATTGATAAACAGATTTCGGATTTCAAAACATACTTTCGCTTTAGATCCTTTACATATTAACAAATATATATCGGAAATTCTATTTGATATAATCGAAAGTTTAAACTTACTTTTATAAAATTGCTCTTACAGTCTGCAAAAAATAATAAGCCGTAACCAATTCGAAAATTAAGGAACAATGCAATCATCAACATTAACTGAAATAGATAATTATATAATTTTAGCTTATACGTCCATTATACATAAAACGCGCACGCGAAAACGTATTCTGCACTTGCGCACACTCACATGCGCAGTCATAAAAGGTCTTACGTGCACGCGTAAACGCCTGTGCGCATGTGTCAACGCGGCGCATGTGCAGAAAGTTTTTAGTTTTGAGGTCCGGATTATAGATCATTCCGAATTATGGGTGTCCGAATTAACGACTTTTGACTGTATAACACATTCCATTTTTGGCCATCTCTATGAAATTTTACAATGCACTGCAGCCATTTCAACTATATTTCAAAGTATTCGCCACTAACTGATGCAATCACTTGATGCTTCAAATGAGGCTATCTGAAGAATGATAATTTTATATGCAAAAATTTGCTTCATGTAACTTCCTCAAAAAAGAAAAAGGGGAAAAAGTTCCTCATTTATTCAATTTTATAATTTATCATGACTTTATAATGGTTTAATCATTAATATAAAATAAATAAATAACTAAGAGTGAAATTTACTTACCACTGACACTTGTAAACACTTCACTAATGCCAATTAAAGAATACTGAGGAATTTGCCAAAAAATTGAAAGGTCAGCAGCAACATATAAAGTGTTTTCTATGGTTTGATTAACAGTATGTTTGCTACCAAAAATAAAAGAGAATATCAGTATTATTTAACTTTATACTAGCACTATTGGGAAAACAGAATGCCATCCTTGAAGGGGGAAAACCCTTTTATACAAATATTTACACTCTGATAAAACTATAGACAGACATTCAATATGACACAATTCTTGATAAAATTTGTAACATCTTCAGTTATCATTTACATCAAAAGTATTAAAGAAATCTTTAACATACAACTTAAGTAATTATAATATATAATTTATATACTAGTTAAAAAGATTTTTATACTTTTTGATATAATATTAACAGATATTTTAAACCAGCAATTATGATTTAAGAATATGTAATTATGGATTTAAGAAATAAATAAATATTTTATATCTATTTTTACTTATTCAAATTATACCAAAATGCTAAATAATATGCGAGTACTTGCTCTGAAAAACACATTTTTTATTTGCATTTCACTTTTAATATTCTTTAAATAAAATATGACAATGTATATTGATATGTAATTACTAAAACTCCAATTAATAATTAAAACTTCCTTAAAATTTAGAGTTCTATCAGAACTAGATAATTTCTACATTATCATACTTGAGAAGAGAAGTTTATTTAAACTCTTTGACCTGATTTTGCTAAGAAACCAGATTAGAATTACATAGAGTATCATTCTATGCTAAAACATAAAACTGCATAGCATAAATAATCTGCTTATTAGTTTTACTTCAAAAATTTCTAGATGATGAGGCATTTTCTATCAAATTCACAGTAAGCTAAATTGACTTATAAAATAATATCTTCTTGGCTTATATCAATCTCAAATCCTTCTACTGATTGACTTAACAGAAACCTTATTAACTTATTTTATTTTGGTATCAGTATAAATAATTATGAAACTAATTATAGACTAAAATAATGAGATTTTCTAAGTTTTTAAGCACCCTAAATATCTGCGCATTTCAAAAACATACACTAGTTCTTTTTTTTTTCTTTTTCTTTTTTTTTTTTTGCTTTAAATTTAACAACTGCAGCCAAATGCAATTGTTAATTTTATAATAATACATTTTCATCTCGGGTAAATTCTCAGTTCTGTTTCTTGTAGGATAAATATGCAAGGCCAGTCAGTAATATAGACGGCATTACTCCTTTCTTTAATTGAAAATGTGAAAGAAGTACATCCCCCCCCCAGACAATAGGATCATATGAATTTGCCTCTATCTCAGATATGGGCAAACTATGGCCCGCAGATAGAATTTTAATTTGTCGATCTGAAGCAAATTAAAAGAAGTATATATTTATATATACATCTCATTTTCTACTTTGTTTAAATACTATTTTTTTTCTTCTTTTTTTCATAGGACTGATTATCTTTTTATTTTCTCTATTTTTGTTCTACAAAACATAAATCGACGGAAATAGCAAACTTTCAATCAGTAAAGTGTTAAAAGTGGAAGTTCTTTGACAGTTATAGCTGTAGATTGGCACCAACAAGCATTATCTCTTTCTCGAGCAGACATATGCAGGGTTCATAGCCACATTTTAAGCACCTTTCAAGCACATTTTAAGAAAAAAAATAAGCACCTGTCTAATTACATTATACACAACTGCATAACCTTAAAAGAAAAATTAGACTTGCAACTTAAAATATGAGCAATGCAATATTTATTACGAGAATGAGCATTACCTCAACCACAGAAAACAATTAACTTTTTTTTTTTTTTTTTTTTTTTTTAAATTTTAAATGACAGTTCAATTTTACAGAATTAGTTTACAATGGGAGGGGAAAAAACTATGCAAACTAACTATATTACAAGATTTAATGATGAAATTTCAGTTCAAAATATAGAAAATAAATAATAATAAGCCATATTAATTGTATTTGTTTGGCACCTAATAATAAATACAATTTATTTTTGCACTCATATTAATATTTAAATAATTTTCAAATAATCAAAATTCTGAACATTTTCTAAATTTTCATCGCATAACAGATTTCCCTTAACATATATTCCAAACAAAGTAATTTAAGCAAAAAAGGGGAACATTTTTTAAATCAGGAGATGGGATATTGCTTCATGCAGTCATCCTTTAACAGTAAAAGCTTAACTAACCCGCATACTCGGAAGCTGCCGAATATTCCGTATAGTCGAGCATAACTGGAAAAAGAGGAGTGGGGGATATTGTGGTCGTTCTTTAGATTTCTCAGCTAAATAAATGATTTTGACATTTCGATATGTGCATCATATAAAAATAGACCAAACGGAACTGAGATATATTCTGCTTAGAAAGCACAGTAAAACTCTTTTAAGTGTTAATAAATAAATCTCAGACAGAAAATCAAAATTAATTATCTCTGCAAAATACGGCAAACATTATTGCACAATATATGTAATTATATATGCACAATAATGTGTGGCATAATTCTTCCATGCGTGATTATAACGCAATCAGAATCAACAGGTGCCGGTATTCGGAGAATAAAGAACTAAATAAAGGAAAAGAAGAAAGAAGGAGACTTACTAATCTGGGGTGTTTTTGATTGTAATTTTGAACAGACAGCGTTAAATTTCCGGAATAGAATCATTCTTCTTGGGTTGGGTAGACCACAAGACTTTTAGTTTTATTCAATCCAGATTAGACAGTGACGAAAAAAAAAAAAAAAAGTCCGCTGCTTCAACATTAGAGATTTTGAAAAAGAAAAGAATACCGAATGTACTGGAATTTTCTATGGTTTTCGCAATTCTTAGACCAATAGAACTACGTGCACCTGTCCGAACTCTCGCACACACCATAGGTTACGTTAATGCAGAGAAAGGGTGAAAAGCTATTTCCGGGAGTTTGATTCACCATCTGACGTTCCATATAAGGAAGAAAAGTTGTTTATTTAGTTTTGGCTTTGGTACGGGGGAAAAATGCGTGTTCATTAAAAAAAAGCACTAAAAGCAAAAAATAAGCACTAAAAACAAAAAAATACGGGCTTTAAAGAAAAAGTAAGCACGTATAAGGGCCTTTATATTTTATTTTCAAATATAAGGACTTATAAGCACTTGTAAGGACCGCTACGGACCCTGCATATGGGAATACAATACAGACCTCTTAGAAAAAACTTAATTATCTTAACTTAAACGGTTTGCTCGGCAGCTATGAAGATGGCTTGAAAAAACTGCATTTTTAGTTCGAACCCAGATTTCAGTGCCAGTCAAAGAGAACTGGAAATTTTTACCATGCCTTTCAATGTAAACTGTAAAGCAAGGAGGTCATATTTGCAGCTTGGATTAATAGAGTTGCAATCTAACAATCATCTTAAGCAGTTGTTTCTAAATATGCCAAAGTTAAAGAGTTTTGCAAATCGTTATCGAAAGTAAGTTTCCAAATTTAATATCTTATGCCCAGAAAATCACTGCTATGTTTGCTTCACCTTATATACGTGAACAAAGTGTTTTCAACTATAAACCTTAGAAAGAATTATTTCAGGAGTAGACTGACAGATGTGCATTTAGCCTCGTTCCTTACAATCAGTACATCTCACTTCGAACCTCAATATAAGGACTTTTAAAAATGAAATTGCAATTTCATTTATCTCATTAACATATTTAAATTGTAATTCTTGTATATTGTGTTTAAAATTTAAGAAAAATTTTTCTTCGTCCGCCAAACCTTTTTCTTTCGATTTTTGGCCCGCAACCGAAAATGTTTGCCCATCCCTGCTCTATCTCAAAATCTTCACACTTGAAATGACATTCACAAACGTTTGATAATTTTAAATTGCTGCAAAGTAAGCCATTTATTCATTAAATGCTCATCAAATGCGAAGTTGCAGACTCTGACATGAAAACTTGCATTCAGGAATAATACACAAGGAAGGCATGATGATAATACACTTCTACACTGGTGAAAGAAATTAAGAGAATTTGCATATTTGATCTACGATCTCCAGAACTACTCGACAGATTTTAATAAAATTTGGTGTGAACATAGGTTGGTATAAAACAAACAAAATAAACATTCAACAGTTATACTAGACATATACGTTCGTGTGTAACACTTATGGGAGTCTGAAGGTCTGAAACAGCGGTTGCAGAAGACATAAAAGAAATAGGTTAATAGGGGGTATGGTCCCCTCTTACAGCCATACAGGCCTCGCAGCGTGATGTCATACTGGAAATAAGACAGTTTATCAGTGCCTGTGGCAATTGGTCCCACTCATTCAGTAACGCTGTTTTCAGTTCCTGGATGGTTCTCGGAGGGGTGTTGCGAGTTGCAATTAGCCTCCCCAGACATGCTCTATATGTTTGAGGTTTGGAGACCTGACTGGCCAATCCATCCAGTGAATATCCTCACTCTCGAGAAATTCGTCGACCAGAAGAGCTCTATGTAGCCTTACGTTATCGTCCAGTAAGATGAACTCGGGGCCCACTGCACCTCGGAAAAGGCGAACATAGGGCTCCAAGACCTCGTCTCTATACCTCACACCAATCACAGAGCCTCTGTCAAAGATGTGGAGAGGTGTGTGGCCATTTAACATGATGTCTACCCAGACCATTACACTGCCACCGCCATAATTACTGATTTCGCGAGCATTGGAGGGTAGGTAGCGGGTCCCTGGCTCTCTCCAATTGAAAAAACATCGAGAATCGGTGTTTAGGCTAAAACGGGACTCGTCGGTGAACAGAACAGTCACCCATTGCTCCGTACTCTAATCACTATGCTGCCTGCACCATGCTAATCGGACTCTCCTGTCTGGGATGCAAACATCTGGTCTTCTGGCAAATAACACTCTCTCATTCAGTCTTGGAAACAGTCACCCTTGTTACACAGGTTTCTGTGGCTGTATACAGGTCAAGAGACAGCTGAGAAGCTGTAGCCTCTCTGTTATGCCTCACTAAAATGGACAAATAGCAATTTTCTTTGGCTGTCATGGCTCTTGGACGACCTTGCCCAGGCTTTCTTTCGATGGATTCAGTATCCTGGAACTGTTCCCATAGGTTACACAAGACACTGGGTGTTAAATTAAACTCTCTGCATATCTGGATTTGCGATTATCCTGCCTATAGCCTCCCTGCAATTCGCCACCTCATTCCATCATCTAAACGCTGGTGGTTACTCATTTTTACTGTTCCGATGTGAATTTAACCTAACGCTGCAAGATAACACCAAGAAATTCACCGAGCTGGCAAATGCAATTCGTCTTACCCTCCATGTGCTTATAAAGCCTGTTTTTCTGCTGGCTCCGCCTACACACACACACACTTACGTATTTGCTGTACAAGATTTTCATTTTTATATAGAAGCAGAGGTTTTTCCTTCAGTTCAATTCAGTTCTTTTTATGCAATTCGATAAACTATGCAAATTCTCTTAATTTATTTCACCAGTGAGTGTATATGAAAATACATAGACATAATAATGCATCATTTAGGAGTTCACTGAACTAAAAAAAGAAGCATTAATAATACATAAAGTACAGCTAACAGCAATAAGAAATAAGGAAATACTATGAAGTAAAACAATTTATGATGTGATAGTAACATTTTTTGTTATTCAAATTTCAGGGAACGTCATTTGTGAGAATATTACTGAGGGTAATTTAACCATAACATCACAAATTTATTTCAATTCAATGCTTTTCATGTTTAACCCATTTTCATGCCCTCAGTTGCCTTGGTATGGTGGTTAGCAATGCAGACTGAATACCTTTGAGATCTAGATCCTGGAGAAGACACAGATGTTTTAAAATATATAGTGCTTTTGTGGTGAGGTATTTAAAACCTTTCAGCTGAAAGTGTCCTTCAGAGGCTAGGAGAAGAGGGACGTGAGACCCTTAAACTCAATCCCCATAGGGTGTTCTTGATCAGAATTGGGATATCGTGGGGAAAAAATTATACCGTTAACCTGCAGAGTGCTCAGTCAATAACAGATACTAAGTACCCTCTCCTTCTAGGCCATATTGAATTTCACAGACTGTTTTCATTTAGACAGAGAAGATAAATAATAACAACACAAATAACATTATGCTGTTTTGAAATGATTTAAGTAACAAATTACATAAAATATAAAGCAGAAAATTTTTGCCACATATGCTTTAAATCAGAAATGAGCTTCTATAACATTAAATGAAATAAAATAACATTTAACAGTTACATGAATCTGTATTTCATATTTAACACTGACTTACTAGAAAGTTTTACATTAATTAAAATATTTTCTGAAGTACATCAGTTTTGTTTATCTTTTTAAGAAAGCATATTACAGATTAAAAATATACAGACATTTTCAAAATAATGTAACTTACTTATGAATAAAATCAAGACGCCAAATCTCAATGCCTCCAGCTATAAACATTGAAAGTGTAGCACAAACCATACCAAATGCCATTCGTGTTAATAAGCCAATTTTAATACCCTGTTTATCCAAATAGGGATATATGACTTGGTTCATTAAAGGTATAAATATTATTAGAAACAGAACATTGAACAGCATGAGCCAAGCTGCTGGTATCTGAAAATATAAAAAAAACTATGTTTTAATTTAAGATTCAAGATTAACACCTGAACACCACTACAGCCAACTTTTTTTCACCTATTTGTAAATGTTGCATAATGGAATAGCATATTTCTTTGATATCATGAAGTAATTTTTTTCTCACATAAGTATTACTAAAAATAAGGTGCATCAAAGTTATTTGAAAGTAAATTTTACGAATTACTAATAGATGTATTATTGGTGTAAGAAAATAAGTTGTTATTAAACATATTAGGTACACATAATTAAGCATTTTATATCATTAATTTTATTTGATTTGATTTCCCCTCGCCTCATTATTAGCCATCTCAAAATAAAGGATGCATCTTAGTATGAAAAAATACAATACACTTAAACTTTTTGATAAATAAATACTATCTGCATAGGTGAAATTCTTTTTTATCATTGTTCTTTTGTAATAAAGAATTACAGCCCTCTGTGCCTTTAAAAGCCATAAAAAATAATAAGTTCTAAACCATTACAGTATGCAGTAGAATCTGTTATAAATATCTATTATTAAATTCTATTAATTTAAATACAAGGTAAGACATTTTTTGGAAGAACAAAATCAATGTTTCTCTCTCAAGGTGAATATTAACCATGTGCAGTGATACACGTTGGCTGCCGCGTACATTTTACATAGTTTGCCCATGGCGGCAATATGATTTTTTTTTTACTATGCAATGTATATTATATTGAAATATTATCTAAGGAAGATAAGAGAGTTATATAAATGTGTTTAATGTATTTTTCGTGGTGGTGGGTCACTGGGACCCCCAAAGCGCTGTGGATAATTTTGCAATTTATTATACTTCAAACCATTATAGTAACAATGGTGTTGTTTAAAAATTTATTAGTATCGATATTTACTATAATTATGTATTTTTACTATTGGTTGCATTGCCGGTCATCGGTGACCCCACACGGCAGTCAACGTGTTAAAATACACCGATTTCTTAAGGGTTTTCGGTATAGATGACTAGAGAATATTGTATCAACAGGGTGTTTGTGGGACCCCAAAAAATCCCCTGAAACTTTTACGGACTTACTACCGACATTTTGGAGTTTCGAGAAGGGGGGGAGAGAAATGAAAAATTACAATTATGAAGTATTGAATGACCTAATTATAAAAGTTCAATGAATTACTTTTTTTTTTGCAAAATTAATAACCATAAATTTTCAAACATATAAACTACTACATTTTATGTAAATATTTTAAATTACCTGAATTAATTCTTTAAAAAAAATTATCTAATTTCTGCTGCTGCTTTTTATTTTCTGATGTTTGTGGGCTTGTCTTTCTTTTGTGGTGAACTTCATAATTGCAGGAAGGTTGACTTTTATTTTCCTCATTTACAGTTGAAGAAATTTCCTCGAGAACTGCACATGCAGAGGTAGAAGCAGTTTGCTTTTCTGCTAATGTAGAAGGTTTTTCAGAGACTTTTATAGGTGACTCATCTGAAATACATGTTTTTAAGTCCTCTTGATATGTTTTCCAACTTCTGTTCATATTCAGTAAGAGATCTTTGTGAATTGGATCAGTCATTGGATTTTTTGAGCCATATTTTTCACATGAGGTTTCTTTAGAAGCCATTAAATCATATTTAATAGTCTGCACTGCATCTAGGGAATCAATCTTAAGAGAGGTTCTATAGTCAGTGACAAGTGTATCCATTAAGTTGAATGCACTTTCCACTAATGGGCCATGGAAGCAGCTAAGGCAGGCTTTGACCAATTTAGCCAATGTAGGATACTTATAATCATTTGTGAAATCATCTTTTAAATTAAAAACTTTAGACCAATATTTATCAATTGTACACTTGACTTGATTTCCACTTTCATCAGATGTGTAGAGCATTTCTTTGGTGATATCAATATCACTCTGGTATAACCTTATTTCATTTCAGCTTCTACTTTTGACTTTTCATTATCACTAAAAATATGGGACATAAAAGATGATAATTTTTCAAAAGCTAATATTGTACTGGTTTTACCTCTTAGCTCTGGATCTAATGCTGTAAAACTAATTAGATATGAATTTTTAAGGGGTAATTTCTGTTTCATATGCTGTGCTGTATTAGTATAAGCTTTCATCAGAGAAATTTGGAATTCTTTTGCTATTGGATGATTTTTTGATAATTTCTTCAGGAGAGTGGAAGCTTCTGCACCAGTAAATATTACTTTGCTAGGTAGATGGAATTCTGGATTTGTGACATCAACCTTTAATAAATCATTATAAGATGTGCACTCTATATTTTCTGGCTTCATAAAAAAAGAGAAAAATTTTGCCATCAATTTATAAATACTGGAATGTATTAAATGAAGCATCGGTTTTTTTTTTTTTCAAATAATTTAATATATGTGTTGAACTCTGGTAATACTGCTGAATATAATGCCATATGCAATAAAGTTTTGTTTTGCATAACAAATAACCCATTTAGTATTCTTTTTTTCCGAGCTAAAGCATCCTTTGTGAGTTGTTGGGAATGCAAGCAAGAATACACCCCTTCAACAATTTTTTTTCTGAGCTGCAGAAATATTTCTTTTATTGTATACAGTTTCAACATAAGAAAAATAATCCCCTTTATCAGTTTTATCCAAGTAGTGAAAATAAAATGCAATAAGAGCATCCCACAGATCTTTGATTCTTTCTAAAACACATAAAATGTACACCCACCTATGGTCTGGTCTCTTCAAGGGCTTAAGTTTTTTAATGGCAAGGGATTCACAGATTTTGAAAAAATTTTTCTCTTTTACTGCAGCTTTTCATATCAAAATAGATGTCATCAAACAAATCTTCTAAGTATCTATCAAAACATGAAGCAAATTTTTTTGCACAGTTATTAGCTGTGTGACATGTGTCACCATCAATATCTAATAAGTGGGGTGCTTTGTTTGATCGTAGTCTGGTTTCAACACCCTTTTTTTTTTCCACGCATGGTGTTACATGAGTCCATTAATACACTAATTAAGTTTGCCCATGGACTTCAATATTATCAACAAAAACAGCTGCTTTAAAAACAGCTTCTGAATTGCAAAATGATGAACTACAACTTCATTTTGATTGTTGTCATAAAACTGCACCAATATTGCCAGTATACTTTCTTGAGCATTGCTAGTACTTTCATCCAAATTTAGAGAAAATGGAGTCTCCTTTAAAGTTTTAATGATATTTTCCTTAATAGTTTTTGCGAGCCCATATTTCATCTTATAACATGCAGTAGTCCTGGACATTTCCAACGAGTTTAGTGCCGTCTGATCGCGGCTCAACTGTTTGCAGAGTTCAATTAAATTGGGAGCTACATTGAAAGAAAGAGAATTCTCGGCGATAAACGAAGTTATTAATACCTCTTGGCGTGCTTTTCTTGTCACTATATCCAATGGCCGAGCATCAGTCTCCAGTAAGTCATCAGTATTTTTTGAATTAGCATAATTACTTAAAGTCATTGAATGTCTAATGCACTTTGAATATTTTATGTGCGTCACAGTTTTAGAATGATTTGTGAAAGCCTTGAATCCTTCCCCACCATACTTCAGCAGTGAGTTACAAAAAACACATATGCTTGTCCAGCAACATTTATTTTCTTGCACCATGTGCCGATGGTATCCCCATTACCATCTCTCCGTTCAATCCAATTCCACCTAAATGCATTCCGGACACCTTCTTCTAATTGTATAATATCACTATTTATATCGAGAAATTTCATAGTGAAATTCTCTTGCGTACATAATAATAAAAAATATTTCAATAAACGAAACGAAAAATTTACACGTGCATCAATAAATGAAACGAAAATTTTACACAGCGGAGAAAAAAAAGTTGAGAAGCGATCAATGACAAATAGCTAATACGGCGAAAAATCCCCCTTCTCTACTTATTGGCGCCGCCAGCCAGGAGAGATAAGACCTTTGAACCCAGAGTCACGTGATCGCACATCTGGTCGAACGAAGTCTCTCCCTTTTTTTTTCTGCCGCGCCTACTTGCCGAAAAGAATCCAGAAGAGAATGTCCGAGAACCGGGGGAATGAGTCATAACTCGCAATAAGGAAAGAACAAAAAAGAAGTTTTTCCCCCCTTTTCACGCATTATCACTGCCTTTGGAGAAAGAAAGGAAAAGTTTTCACCACACACACTGACCTTGCGTTTTCTGCTTTCAAAGCAAACAAAATTACCCAGATCAAAATAAATAATTCATTATTATTCCTACTTCCTTTTGAACGACGATCCCCGGAATTTCCGGGTATCGAAGTTCAAATCCCCGAATTCGGGGTTTCCCCGGAGCACAAACACCCTGTACTGTATTTTTGCTTCATCGTAAAAACAAAAAAAAAAAAATAACCTCCAAAATTTCACGGACTAGTTTCGGTTTTCGAAAATTATTTTAAAACCGCAAATGACAAATAGAAATAATTTAGGTTATAAAATCTGTGTCATCCCGCTTTCATCATAGCTATAAATTGCACATATTGCGAAATTTAACTTTCGGGTTTTTTTTTTTCTCCCATCAATAAATTCCAACTTCTATACTCAAGGGACCCATCCGGATATGAATTCCTGGGTATTTATAGGATTCCTGCCAGTGGGTTTAATTTACATTGGCCAAACTAAGAGAGCCTTAAAATTTGCGTCAAAGACATGAGGCATGTTAGAAAAAGGAACACAGAAGTCTTCTTTGCTCAACATTGTTGGTCCGAAAATCACACTTTCAATTTTTCTGCTGCCAAAATTATTCAAAAAACATCTCCATTGGAGAATTGGATTTCTAGAGGCATTTCACATTCATAAAAATCTTTCTGTTCTAGTTAACGATCCTAATTCCAATCCAATTTGCCTTCGGCTTTTAGAGAATTTGTTAGTTCTGTTTATGGCGCCCTTGCTTATCTTGTCCAGGCTTTCTTATCTTATCTAATCATTATTCCTATCTTGTTCATTTGCGTTTTTGCAGCTGAAGAATGATGGTTTCGTAAAACCATCGAAA